TCTCTTGATGTGCTCCCAGAAGGTGAGCCGTGAGTCGGCCCGTACCCCCAGGTAGTGCACAACCGGGCTTGTGCAGATTACCTCACCCACCACGTTCAGGCGAAAGTCCTTTCCAAACCATCTTTGTCTGGTAAGGACGACCATCTCCGTCTTTCCTATCGCTAGTTCGACACCGTGGTCTCGCAGCCACTCCAACACTATCGCGTCCAGCTACCGAATTTTGCACTCGGCCTCTTCTCGGGATCTCGCTGTGACGTGCAGTGCTATATCATCAGCAAAGCCCGTCTGCTTGACTCCCGGAGGAATTTCAAGGCGCAGGAGTTTATCATAGACTAGGTTCCATTAGTCAGGGCCAAGGGCAGAGCCCTGTGCGACTTCCGACGTCAGGCGCCTCTTTTTGGGTCCGTCCTTCATGTCGTAGAGGAGTACACGATTCTGTAGATAGCTATCCAGTATCTTTTTAAGGTAGTCCGATACATTCTGGCGCCTTAAAGCCCTCATTACATTGGACACCATTTGGCCGAGTTAAAGGCACTTCTAACGTCGAGAGTCATCAGGACACAGGCGCTTCCCGTCTTATGTGAGGGTTTTCATGCCTCCTTCACCGACTTAAAGACCTCAGCTACAGCCATGACCGTCGATCGTCCCACTCGAAACCCGTACTGATTGTCCGAAAGACTGACTTCCCCTCTCAGACGAGTTCATATCAGCCCCTCAAGCATTTTTCCACCATTATCCAGCATGCACAAAGGTCGGAGCGACGACGGAACCAAGGGGGATGGTTTGCCCTTGTCTAAAACGACTAGCCTTTGGATCTTCCACCGCTCGCTGAACAGTCCGTTGCGCAAGGACGCATCAAACATGTCCAGCAACACGTGAGGTTTTTCCGCAGTTATGACCTTGAGGACTTCAGATGGCACCCCATCCGGACCTGGGGCCTTGAGGCCTGGCGTCTCCAATACCACCGACCTCAATTTATTGAGGGTGAAGAGAGGCACCTCGCCTACACTTATGTCCTCCCGCCTCCTCTCGGGATGCTCCGGGAAGATACAAGAAACCACCCTCTCCAAAAAAAAGGCTCTAGCGGCGCCAGGTGGTCCGAGCCGCGCAGTCTTTTAAGCTCGATTTGGCAGCCCAGGCCCCACGTATCTTTATCCACATCAGCGATGAGTTCGCGCTAGCATCGGTTCTTGCACACCTTAATCACTCTCACCAAGGCTTTTTTTGCGTTTCTGTACGCAGCAAAAGCTACCTCGGCGTCTTCGGGATTCCTGTGTCGCTGGGCAAGACGCCGCAGCTGCTGCGCCTCCTCGCACAAGTTTACGATTTCTTTGGTCCACCAGTAGCACTAACGTCGATCCTTCCTGGCAGCCTTTTTGGGGATTCACGCATCACACCATTCTTGACCCGTCTTATAGTGCCGTTCACGAGTGCCTCGACCTCCACTGTATTTTTGATCTTGCTCAAATCAGCAGAAGGGGGCGCACTTACTATGGCTTCCTGCAGCAAATCTCGGTTGAGTTTCGCCACAATCCACTTGGTAAGGCGCCTTTTAATTACTTCTCGCGAGCTTGCTCCACGGTTCTCGATTTACACGAAACTGACATACCAGTCATGACTAGCCATGAAGTCCTCCAGGACCAGCCAGTCATACACCTGCGCTGCCATTTGTGATGACACGAGCGTAAGATCAATGATCGTGCCCGATTTTCTGGCCACCTAAAAGATGCTGAACTACCAGAGTTCATGACGATGAGGAATAGTCTTGCGGCTATCTTTAGCACCACCCACCCCCTGGAGTCGGTTCTCGGCTCCCCCCAAGTGATGGCCTTGGAGTCGAAGTCACCGGCCACGACTATGTCACCATTTTCCCCGCACACACGAATATCATCCTCGAGTTCAGCAAGTCGCCCTCTAAAGACGCCGATAAAAATGTTAGGGGAAATGTAGCAGTAGTAGTACTAGTACTAGTAGTAGAAGTAGTAGCAGCAGCAGCAACAGTAGTAGTAAAAGCAGTAGCAGTAACAGTAGTAGTAGTGCGTACTACGCCACTTTCCCTCAGTCCCACCCACGGAGACTGCCCTGGCATTGAGTAACAAGTCTAAGAAGCGTGTTTGTGTTTAATGTATGAATATGTTGGTACACTACAGTCATCCCAGTGAAACGAGCTACAGGTGTACAGTCTCACGACCGTGCAAACAACCCGACAAAACAAGCTAGCGTAAGGAACTAAGGTGCTGCCATATAACCTCCGCAGTGGTAGTAAGCTTAGATTAGTCAGCCCACGACGTCTTTTTTGTTTATGAGGCGTACAGCCATATCAGATGTGGTTACTCAAACTTACCTAAGCCTCATCGTCCGGCTTCACCCACCGCCAGGCCTTCAACGCAAGTTCGGGAAAGACCCCGCCACCCACAACCCAGGACATTTCGCAAGTATCCTTGTGTTTGTTTAGTGAGAGTGTGATGCATATATCTGAGAAGAATGTTATAACCACCGCTTACTTCTATGTACGACAGGGTGGAGATTGGTTAAGACCTGTCAAAGTTACCACCATACCAAGACAGCAGGCTGATTCTTAGTGGCTTGGACGGGGGGTCAGCCCCTGCCGGCCCTCCCAGTCAGCTAGTTTTCATTTGGGGATCCAAACAGCTCATTTCAAGCTCTAGTCCCTACACGCATACACCACTCATACTCTTATTCATTTTTTCAAGTTCCCCCTTTTTTGTTTCTAGCAGCTCCTAGAGGGTGAGTAGTAGTAGCAGTAGTAGTAGAAGTAGTAGTAGTTTTTTTTTTTTTTTTTTTTTTTTTTTTTTTTTTTTTTTTTTTTTTTTTTTTTTTTT